TGCCCGGAACCCAAGAGAAAAATCTATTTCAAGGAAGGAAAAAAAACAGCTGTTTCAAGTCCTACTGATAGGTCAAAATTTGGCAATTGGCCACTGGATTTGGCAAAATGGGTGTCATTTGTGAACCTAACAAGAGCAGTTTGATGGGAGTGTTAGGAACAAAACCCTGATTAGGATAGGTTCAAAAGAGAATATGAAGGAATTTGGGAGAGAAAGCAAAATATTGTTGAAGGTGCTTTTCTCTAAGGATGAACAGAAATAAGACAGTGTGCAGGGAAATGTAGGTCAGGAATTTTGTTTATTGAAATAAGTTACAGCATATGCTGCTAGGAAGATCAATTAAAGAAGCAAAAATTGATGATGAGAGAAATGAGAACTTAGCCAGAGACCAAAATATTGACCTTGAGTAGAAAACAGGGCATGGGATCTAGTGCCCAAATCAGTCTTACATTAAAGCACAGACAGTCCTCCCATGTAATAGAAGAAAGGGCAGAAGTAAGGTAAGATGATAGATGTGTTGGTGGGAGTTCGCAGAAATTCTTTGCTGTTTCTATTTTTTCTGTCAACAAGAAGACAGCCTTGAGAAGACTAAAAGAGGAGGAAAGTGTGTTGGCATGTTGAGGAATAAGGATAAGGTATTAAATAAACCTATAGATTAGTAGAAGGATAAATGGACTCGTGACATGTACAGACTCGCCAGAAAATCTTAAACACCAACTTGAGGGTAGTGGGCATGAGGTGATAGTAAGACCAGTAAGTGTGATTTAGCGCTTTTCTCCAGGAACATTCAGCAGGCCTGCTACAGTTGCAGAGTTGGCAGAGAATAACCCAAGTTGTTTTTTTTTTTTGACAAGTATATAATATAATAAAAGGAGAAAGGGCCAAAACAGTTGAAAGAAATATGCAACAGAGTTATTAGTATCAACCATGGGATCCAAATTGTTCATAAAAGGACAGAAGAATATGAAAGGAGTTAAGTCCAATAAAAAGGTGTTAGAGTCAACAGATTGTTTGAGTTGTATAACTAGAGGGAATGAGCTGGAAAGGAAGAAGATGGTGATGGTAGACTAGGCAGCTAAAAATCAAGATAATGGAAGAGATTTCTTCACTGATCAAGACAAGATTAAGGGAACAGGAGTGGCTGATGGGATGCAGAACAAGATCAATGGATGAAAAGAGTTCAAAAACAAAGAATGTACAATAGGGAAGGATAATTTCTGTGAATATTATAATAAGCATGAATTATGACAAGTACTATTGAAAACAATGACAATATTCAAGGTAGAAAATGTTCAACAGAGGAAGGTGAAGGACCAAGAGATCAGTAGATAAGTGCAACAGAAAGCTGGGATGGCAGTATAGTCAGCAGATACGATCTTCAAGGCAGTGTATTTTTAGAAAATAAGAATGAATGGAAGTTAGAAGACCAAGGAGATGCAAGGAGGATAGCTATCTCACAACCAGGACCAAGGTTATAAAGGGAATGGGAAAGAACACAAATGCAATTTTAGAGATTTAGTAGGAAAGCAGAATGGAATGCTCAGAAAATACAATATATTGAGCAGTTTTGCTGATAATATTCTCCAAAACTGGCCACTGTTTTTTCTTTCCTCCACAATGCTGCCCAGTCCTCTTTCTAAAAAATATCTGCTTGTCTGCTTAAAATTCATCAACAGGCTACAGTAGTTTCAAGCTTGTGTAGAGCTAGCATGCTCTAGGACTCCTACAAAGCTCTCTCTGGCCACATTTCCTATCTGTCCCCCATATGCATTCTTCACATCTATAGGCCTTTAGCAGTGGTAATACAGGTGGGCCTGGGCTTACTGACTACACTCTACCTGTCTTTGTTTGGGGGGCCTTTTTTTTTTTCTTTTGCTACTAATTTCAATCAGTGAATCACTTATACTATATAGTATTCAGTTTTCTCACTTATGGAATAAAGTAATCAAAATCAGAGTTTTGTGCTTTTTTTTTTTATTTTTTTTTAACCTGGGAAACTATTACCTGTTGAAGAATTAAGCAGAAAAGCAGCAGTCCTCATAATGTGAGAATATCCCAGGTGTATTGCAGGACATTTAGGACAAATGGCCTTGCCCATTAACTGCCAATTGTATCCTCTGAGGCAACCAAAAGTGTGCTCACACATTTTCTAGACATTTCATATTGTAGGGTAGTGAGATAAAATGCAGGCCGCCTGGTTAAATTTGAGTTTGAGACAAACAAATACATATTTTTTAGAATAAGTACATTGCAAATATTGCATGGATATCCTGTTTTTATTTCCTATATCTGCCAGCCCTACAATGGGCAACACTGCTAAGTAGGATTATACTTGTAGTCCATGTAAAAATGGCACCCATAGAGTTATTCAGTGTACAACTTATACAGCTAAATGTAGCCACATTGCTTGGGAGTCGATACAAACCCAACTGAGAACATTGATTTATGTTATCAGTAAGAACAGTTGTAGTTGCTGAAATTTCTGTAACCAAAACTACTCAGTGGTCTTGTGTGAAAAAGCAGTGGGAGGCATGCATATGAGTAAAGTCAAGTCTGAGAACATTTTAAAATCAATTATTTTGAGATCCAGCAACGTTACTTTTCTTACCTTCTTTATCTCTTTTATTGATTTCTGCCTGCATTGACACTGAGTCGTGTTTCTTCTCAAGGATGAAAACAATCTTATTACAATAAGGAATCAGTATTTAGTATGTCACCCACACCAGAATTACAAATGAGGATTTCAAGGATATGACAGTGTAAACACAAGGGAATAATTAGCTAGTGGTGACATTTCAGACAGTAATTGGGAAGATATTCTGCCTACTATTGAAGTTTAATAGCCATTGGGTGGTGAGGCCAAAATGTCACCAGAGAAGAATAATTGACTAGTTGTCAAAAGGCCAAAAGAAGGTCAAATTTTCCTCAACAAATTCTGCACAGTCTGAAGTTTGACTTCAAGCTTTCAAAGAAAAAAAAATACTTGGTTTGGTCAGCATCCTGAATATGGATACATTTCTTGAGGATAAATTCTTATTAAGCAAGTTCACAAGAGATCAATACATAGAGATCAAAATTGGTAATTAATTTACTATGATGCATAAAACTGCTACAAAGATAAGAATATTTGCAGTGTATTCTATATCTAAAGACAGATCTCAGTTAAGAAATATCTGTTGAGCAAAAATACTGTATTACATATGAGTGAGTAAAAGGCAATACCTACTCTTATTATCTTACTGTCTAGGCTAAAAGAGTAGAAAAGAAAGCATGTGATAAGCCGTGGGCAAATGGGTGGGTAGGAGTAGAAAAGATAGATAATGGAATGTGTAGGAAGACAAGTTAGTGAGAGAGCATAACACACTTGAGGAAATGAATATAATTCAACGTAGTTAAGCATAAAGCTCTGGAAGAGAAATGGTGAGAGATGAAGAGGGGAAATGAACAAGATCCCAGCCAAGAAAGGTTGTCCTAGCTTTGTGAAGCAGTTGAACTATTTCTTAAGAGCAGTGGGGAGCCGCTGCCATGTTTTAAGCAGTTAAGTGTTAGATTTTTATTTTGAAAGATCAGTTAGACAATTAAGTGGAGAATAGATTGGATTAAAGGGTAACACGATAAGGATTGGGAACCCTGATGTAATTTAGGTGAGAAGTAGTGATGCTAGAAGTCAGAAGCATACCTGGAAGGAAGAAATGGATAGTTGAGGTATTTAGGAATTAAAATCAATAGGACTTAGCAATAAATATTATGTGTGGGATAAGGGAGAACAGACAGGCTGAAAAGATACACCTTTTTTGAGCCTGTACATAGGGAGAAGTAGCAATTTGAGGGCAAAGAAAATCCATTTATTGGTGCACTTTTGGTTTTAATTGTCTTTTAAACAGTCAAGGAAGCCAACAAATAGGTATTTTGGTATAGAGGGGTGAGGCTCAGGAGATAGATCTGGGATAAAGGTTCAGATTTGTGCATCATTATAAAAGCCACCAAAAGGGATAACATCACCCTGAAAGAATGGGTCAGTAATGAGAGAGATAGCCTGAAAGTGAGGAACAGTAGAACTTAAATTATAAGCCAAAAAAAAAAAAAAAAGCCTGAAAAAAAGTTCAAAGAGAAGAGGTGAACAAATGAAAGCAAAACTGGGAGAACTTAGTATCATAAAAGCAAATGAAAGAGAGTTTTTCACTAAAAATGGAATAGCTATATAAAGGCCAAGAAAATCCCCAATAGATTTGAAAAAAAAAAAGACATTCAAACAGAAAAAGTTGTTTAAAATAATGGTAAGAACATTTTTGGAGGCCAATCAGTGGCAAAAACCTATGTGTTGTACATCATAAAATCAGTAGAAATTGAAGAAGTGGAACCAGCATGAATGTTGGCAACTCTTCCCATAAGTTTTGTCGACATGGGGGATGGAATAACACAGGATTTGAAAGGGGCCTTAGTGACAGGGTATTATTTATGTGTGAGTATACCTTATGTGGTTTGTCTCTTCTGTTTGCTAATTATTAAAATGGAGAGACTACTTTATGCTGATGAGGAAGAAAGGAAGAAGATGATGGTACTAAAGTATAGATGGAGATATTCCACAGGGTTCTTGAGGAGGAAGGAATAGAGTCTAGGGCATAGATGAAGGGATCACCACTGGGTGCTATCTTAGTTAGCTCGGGTTACCATAACTAAGTACCACACTGGGTGATTTAAACAACAGAAATACATTGTCTCACATTTTTGGAATCTGAAATCAAGGTGTGGAAAAGGTTGGTTCCTTACGATGGCTGTGATGGAGGAAGTTATTCCAGGCCTCTCTCCCTGACTTATAAAAGATCATCTTCTGCCTGTGTCTCTTCACATTGTCTTTCCTACATGAATATCTGTGTCTAAATTTCCCCTTTTTATAAGGACACCAGTCATATTAATTAGGAGTACATCACCCACCAGTGAATAGGAGCAATAAATAAATCTAAGACATGAAGAAATATTATCCTTTGTCTATTTTTCAGAGTGATTGTGTGCTTAGTTTTTTCCTCTCTGAGCCTGTGCAACAAACAATTGAAGAATCATCTCTTCTGGACCTAGGCAAGTAATTTTATCAGTATTATTATGTACAATTTTTGAGTTTTAATATAATCGTGCAAAAAATATCACAACTATATTTTTTTCAACTTTCAAATTAAAATCCTTTTAAAGAATAAGCTTTAAGGGTCTTTTTCTTTTTTAAAAGTATCTTTTTCTATTTTCAAAGCTTTTTAACCCCTTAGAATATATTCAAACTAAATTAAACTGGCATATATTTGTCTAATTATAGTAACTACATGATGTCGCACTATTAACTCATTTTAATTAATTGTGCATTGAGGTGGAATTGCATGTCAGAGACAGAGTTCCTGTTTTCCCCTGCAGGTAAGTCTTCTAGTTTACTCAACATCTTAGGAAGCAACAAAAATAAATATTAGGCAATAGTAGTGATTATGAATTATCTAGCAGTTTCACTCTTATCTTTTAAAGCTCAGTAATTACTCTACCTTCCTCATGAAGTCTTCTTTTTATTACCTGGATCCCAAACTAGCCCAGAACAATTATCCACCCTATTCTCTGCCAGATGTGTGTTAATTCTTATTAACTTTTCTAACATCTCTCCTAGACTGGCAGGGACTCTCTTTGAATCCCATCAATTTTAAGCATTTGTAATAAAATTTCATTGCGAAATTAGGATTATTATTGTAAAAAATAAAATGGTTATCTGAATTTTTTTCTCATTCACTTATTTCTTACCACATCATACAATATGCAAGACATTTTGGTAGAATGATGGACACAAGATTTGAGTCTCAATATTTGGCTGCATATGAAATACAGCCTATTGTTTTAAAACAACAGAACAGGGCAGCCCGGGTGGCTCAGCGGTTTATTTATTTATTTATTTATTTATTTATTTATTTATTATTTTTTATTTTTTATTTTTTATTTTATTTTATTTTTTTGACTCCGTGGTTTAGTGCTGCCTTCAGCCCAGGGTGTGATCCTGGAGGCCCTGGGATCGAGTCCCACATCAGACTCCCTGCTTTTCCCTCTGCCTGCGTCTGTGCCTCTGTGTGTGTGTGTGTGTGTGTGTGTGTGTCTGTGTCTCTCTGTGTCTCTCATGAATAAACAAATAAGATCTTTAAAAATAAATAAATAAGTAAATAAAACAGAACACACCTAAGCAGAATATGCAAATCATTACAACAAACAAGGATTAGCAGAAAGTTGGTCCTTCTTGTATTCTTTAAATTATTTTCTGTTCCGTAATTCCAAATTCTTCATACTTTTTGTCATGTTCATAAACAGGAAAGAATTGTATTTTAAGCACTATTCTTGTCAGGTGAAATTTCTGCTTATGTTATTAAATGATTAGAGGACAAAATTATTTAAGTGTATTAAAATATTGGTTGACATAGGATGACCTTAAGCAAAAATCTCAGAATTTACCGTATTTACTACCTCTAGTAACAAATTGAGGGTATTCTGGATAACTGTATCTAGACTCATGACATGTAAAGATCATATTGGTAATACTTTGTAATCTTGGCGCTGGGAAATAGTAATATTCCTTTGCCTTTACTCACCAACTAACCATGCCTTGGTAGAACAATATAAAAATTTATCTTTTTAAAGTGCCAGTCCAATCATCACTCTTCTCTACTTCACACTTTTTCCTTGGCTACTCATTACCCTTAGGTAGGGCCAATGTAATGGGCTTGTAACCAGTGCAGTCACACTAGGCACTGTGCTTAGAAAGGTCCTGCACTTGGATTAATATTCAGCTGTCACTATCTTGAAATTCTTAATAATTTTTGTAAAAGGAACCCTGCATTTTCATTTTGCATTTTCATATCACTGAGCCTCAGAAATCATATAGCTACCCCTACCCATGGGATAAAGACCAAATTCCTCATGATGGTATCCCAGCAGAATCTGGCATCCCCCAATTTCCCTTTCCAGCCGTAATATCAGGCCCTTCATTATCTTGATTCTTGTGTTTTTTCCAGTTCCTCAACTATGACAAACACCTCAGCACTTAACAGATGCACCTTCTCTGCCTGGACCACTTGACTCCTATTCTACCTTCTTTATCATGTTTTTTTTTTTTTTTTTGATCCTTCAGCTCTCATCTTATTTGTCTTTGCTATATACTCCTAAATGTTTTTTCTTCAAAATTATTGCAGTGATGTTTATGGCTTCTGTGTTTCTTTGTAGGCTAAAAATCTGTGAAGACGTAATCTATGTCTATATTGTTCGCCATTGTACCCCCAGGGCTTAACACAGTCTCTAGCCTACTCTAGATTCTCTATAAATAATTACTGAACAAATGATTGATAATAGAAAAAACAATGGAAGACACATTTATGTTCTCTACCATGGTAGCTTGTCATGGTAGCTTTGTTCATGAAAAGGACAAAAGAGAAGAAACTAAAATCCCTAACCATGCTACTCCCCCATCACTACAATTCTCTTGAAGTATCACCTAGAAAAAAAATCTACGCATTATCACATTTAAGATTATAGACTCAACCACATTCAACCAAAGCACTACCCAGAAAGTTGCTGGATTTTATCTCGTATATTCTTTAACTCTCTGCTAACATGATCCTCTCTAGTCCCTTCAAATTAATATAGGTCCCAAGCCAAATAGTACCCCCACAAAAATATAAAATTATCCATCCTCGACCTGTACACAACACTGACATGTAAGATAGATTTTTTTGTCAAAGTATAGAGACAATAACATAGGTAATGGAGTGATCAAAGACAACAGTTGTCAGGGTTAAGAGGATGAATTAGCAAGTGTTTAGATGCCATTGATAATTACAAATGGTTACAAACCAGAGCTTTCAATCATTACCTCACATCACTATTTCCAATTGGAGATGCTAATTTAAAAGGGAACTTGAAGCCAGAGCCTCCATGGCAGAGTCTCTCTAGTTAATGTTATACTACTTGCTCTAGCAGAGCCCAGATTAATTATCTGTAGGTTGGTTGAAGTATGTTACCCAGGTTTTCAATGTAAATTGTAATTATATGGAAGGACAGAAAGGGAAGTAAATACTTAGAAATAAATACTTATATTATTTCTGAAAATTGAAAGCTTTAAAATATTGTGCATTTTACTATGTTATATCATATAATATGCTTGCAATTAGAAAATTATTTTAGGCTTTTACTTGTGGCTGATGTGGGCAAAAAAAAGATGAAAAGAAGATGAGAGTTAGAAGACTTTCTCTAATGACTTCATTTCTAATAGCTGGGTGTCAAAGGATATTGCTAAAATCTAACAAGTCAGGCAATAAAAAACTTAACATGTAATATTAGTGTTAGAGAAATACTAAGATCACAACATTGAATATAATTGAATGGTAGATGAAAGCAGAGTGCAAAAGATTATGCATTTATTAATTTTATCTCTCTATCAGGAAACAAATATTGTCAAAAAAATAAAAGTCTAAGAATATTAAATAAAAGTAACCACTAGAACAAAAGTAAAAGCTTTTTCTAAGTATCACAAGTACATAAAAATAAAAACAAATTCCTTAGCCAAAGACTTTCTTTAAAAATCATAAAAACAAAAATGTTGTGTTTCTTTAATAACATAAAACAATAAAAACAAAGAGAAATGAATCTATTGTATTGATAAGTATAACTGGACTTAACTCATACATAAAGACAAAAATTCTGATTGGAGAAAAGTAAAAATCATAACTCTATACTTTATGTATAAACACACCTAAGACAAAATGATTTTTTTTTTTTTTTTACTTTTTATTTATTTATGATAGTCGCAGAGATAGAGAGAGGCAAGGCAGAGACACAGGCAGAGGGAGAAGCAGGCTCCATGCACCGGGAGCCCGATGTGGGATTCGATCCCGGGTCTCCAGGATCGCGCCCTGGGCCAAAGGCAGGCGCTAAACCGCTGCGCCACCCAGGGATCCCGACAAAATGATTTTTAAAAATTGAAAATTAGGGGCACCTGAGTGGCTCAGTTTGTTAAAGCATCTGCCTTCTGCTTAAGTCATGATTCCAGGGGTCCTAGGATCAAGTCCCACATAGGGCTCCCTGCTCAGTCTGCTTCTCCCTCTCCCTCTGCTCTTCCCTGATTGTTTTCTCTCTCTCTCCCTCTCGCTCTCTCTCTCTCTCTCAAATAAATAAATAAAATCTTTAAAAAAAGGAATTGAAAATTAAACTCCAAGCACAGGTATATTAGGCAAATGCAAAGACATGGAAACCAGAAGTCACGGTCTTAATAAAGAAAAGGTGGCATATAGGCCAAGAAACATTGAATTAAACAAGAATGCAACTTTATAATAAGTACAATTCTCAATAAAGATATAAGCATATATATATGTGTGTGTTATATATATATATATGTTGTATATATATAGGTTATATATATATCTCAATTATATGACAGCAACATATATAAAGCAGAAATTATGGAACATTTAAGGAAAAATACACAACAGACTGGAATTGGATATTCTAATTCACTTCTTTTGATTTATGAAAGAGTGAAAAAATTAAGTAGATACATAGAAAATTAAATAGTAAAATTAATAAGACGACAAAATTTATTAATTTGATATATCAAACTCTTTATCATGAAAATGGGTTATATATTAGGTCACAAAGATAATTTCACTTAATCCTAAAAAGTAGAAATACTACAGACACATTTTCTAATCATGAGAAAATAAAGTGAGAAATTAATTTTTAAAATTAAGAAAGCTGAAAGATTCTTATTTAGAGATTTAATTTAAAAACAGCAGCTCTCTTGAACAACCCTTGGGCCAAAAGGACTTAAAAAACAAAACTGCAAAATTTCTAAAGAATAGCTATACCATCAGAGAAGATAAAGCAATTCTCAAAAATTGGAATAATTGGAATAAGACTATAAAACAAACCAAAGGCATACAAAAAAGAGAGAAAGAAAGAAAGAAAAGAAAGAAAGAAAGAAGAAAGAAAGAGAAAAAGATTCGAGGAGAGATTAATGACTTAGAACACAGAAAATAGAATAAATAAATCTGGAAGCTAAAAGTAAACAA